ACATTGGTCAAAACTTTTATTCATAAGAAACAAATGGTATCAGCTGTTCTTAGAATAAAACATGTAACATTTTTAACGTATATTAACACCTTAGAAATGTAGGTCAATAAGACCAGTCCGGTCTCATTCGCATAAATTGAAGAGGATTTATAATCTATGACTACTCTTCTAATGATGAGTCGTATAATTCAAGAAGAAAATAAGCTCGTAACTCAGTGAAGCTATCATTATGTGGTTTTTTAATACGGATATTTTACATAATGATAGGTTAATTAGTACCTTAGCTTCTTTTCTTCTTCAATGATAGAGCTCTTTTTGAGAAAGACTATCATTAGTCAAGGCTCCTCATCAACTCAAGTAATCAAGACTGATCTTTTTTATCTACATTTTTAAGATAGTATGTACGCTAAAACTTTCACATGTCTAATCCTAAGAAGGATTCAGATCACAGGTGGATAATTTTGATTAGTAGCATATGTCTTCATTGAAGTTAATAGTGATTGTTCTTTATGAATAAAAGCTTTGACGAGTCCTCTATAGCCGAGAAAAAAAACAATTCTACAGATTTAAACAGGCTCGAGAAATTGAGTTTTTATCATCCAGTTAATTATGAGCCATTCTGTATATAAAACTTATCCGAAAAGAAAATCAATTGAATTATTAAATAAAAAAAAATATATAATTCTTATAGAAAAACTCAAAATCGATATTACACTTACGAATAATCCGAGACAAACATTCAGATAAAAGTCATTTATGTTTATTCTCATAGAAAAACTACAACGAGATGTTTCTCTGCATAATATAAACTGTTAGGCATTTCAAAATCCCAACTTATCTTCATTCTCAAGAAAAAGAGAAATAATAAAAAAAAAAAAGTTTCATAGTAAACTAATTTTTACCTAAATTAATTGCTTGACCTTCCATTGATGTATTACTTGAATTATTTCGATCATTTTGATTATTTTTAGTATTTTCTAAATAATCATCATTTACTTGTTGCTGATTATTATCAACATTTTTCATAATACAATCAGTTGAATCAAAATGTTCAATTTCATCTTCATCATCACTATCAGCAATAACTACACTATTATTTTCTTCTTCTTCAGTTTGACTTCCAGCACCATCATCAAATACTCCTTCATCATAGCGTTCAACAACTTCTCTAGCAACTTGTAATTCTTTTAATGGTGTTGATTTAACTGTTTCATCTAAATCAGTGATTGATGATTGCTGTTGCTGTGGTTGTTGTTGATATGAATTTAGTACTGAACCAAGTGATTTCGATGAATGAAGAGATGATATTGATAAATCAGAATATGTTTGAGATGAATCGGTGTTCGCTAGAAATAGAAAAATTATTTAATGTTAAAAACTATGTTTTTTTTTTCGTTGTTAATATTTCTATACTTGATGGTGTTGCATTAAATGAACTACTATTTCTTCGAAATACTACATTTTCATTATCTGTATTTTTTGAATCTTGATTTAACAATTTCTAAAATTAAGAGAAATAAAAATAGACTTAAAAAATTCAGATTTTATTGTTATATACTAAAGTTAATGTTAATTGTTCACCAAGTTTAATTAAAGGTGTTGCAATAGATTGTATGTCAATATTTTTATCTATTTCATTTGATATTTGATTAATTATTTGCGTTAATTGATTGTCTAAAGAAAATAATTAAAATGTAGAATGATTATTAATGAAATATTTACGATAACTAGTTGCATATGTAACTGCTTCTAATGATGTATTTGGTTTCATCGAATGCAGAGAAAAACTTGATGTATCTTGAGGAATGTTAAGAAGACATGATAGAAGCATTTGTTTTTCATGTAATAAACGTTTTATTTCTGTATCAGTTGTCGTTATGGAATTTAATATAGATTCCGGTGTATTTTTTTCATTTGTTTCAATTATTTGAATATTTGGTTGTTCTTCACTAATCGTTGATCTAAATGAAATAATAAAGTAAAATTTAAGAAAACAACAATAAATGATTTATTCTTTTGTTTTTACTGAATTGTTAATGTTGATGAAGATGAATGTAAATTTTTTTCTTTTGAAGAATATGGAAACGATTTTGTTTTTTCAAATGGTTTTCGAGCTTTTTCAATCCAATCTAGCCATCTAAGACAAAAGAATGAAAATAAAAGAAAACAGAGAAAAAATAAAATAAAATAAATTACTTTTCAAGATCATCTTTTGAGTTAGCTTCGACTTCAATTAATTGTTTTTTATCTGTGTCAATGACATAAAAAGAACGAGCGCCTAAAATTAGAAAAAGAAAAGAATATATTATCGAGAGAAATTCCTATATAAAATGACAATAGATAAAAAAAAGAAAATTTATTTATAGAACAGCCATATTATACAGTGAAAGTCTCAAGTGATTATTTACAAACATTGAAAATGATACCATTTCAAAATCAATAAAAAAGGTAAATTAATTCAGAAGCCTTTAACTTTTGTGCTAGAGGCGATTCATACAGGACATCTGGTTTTATCTAAAAAAAAATTGGAAACTGAAGATCCAGGGTGCCATGGAGGTAACTCATAGATAAAGTTTAATAACGAAACCTTGATAATAAAATTTTGTTTTACATTATCTGTATGCAAACATATTCGGGGAATTCAATGGTTGATGAAGATTAGTTCAAGCTATAAAGAATGTTTCAGGAGTTTCGAAGTGATTATAAAATTCATCTATATAGCATACAACAAGATTAAACTTTTTTAAAATTTGCTAGATTATGGTAGAAACTTATAAAGGAATATATCCAATCGTTGGACGCCGTTCAATTTTATAGTACGACTGCAACTAAGTTTCGGTGAGACTGAGAAAAGCTTAAGAAAAATTCGAACCTATGTCCTACTGATAAAAAGTTATTACTATTTCAGTGAAATTTTTAATAATTACTAAATAGCCCTGAAAGTTTTTATGAAAACAAACATGTCTGTTTCGAGATATTCAATTTCCAATTTAACTAGATTGCTATGTCCACCTAAGGTATACCGTTGGCTTTTTTGGATATTGAATACGCCGGGAAAGGTATCTTCGTTTTTCGTTAAAACTTCTAGGACTACTTAATGATTATCAAATTTACCTATAGACAAAATGTCAGATCAAAATTATTTGCTTTGAATTTTTTGAAAATATCTTGCTCTCAATAAAAATTTCTTTAAATCGGTCATATTAATGTCATCGAGATCTACTCCTAGTCATAATACACAGTCAAATAGCGTCCAACAATTAGATATATTCCCTCGTTAGCATTAAATAACTAAAAGTGTTCAGATCGGTGACTTCTACTATAATGACGAAATTATTACAAAATTCTTCTATTGATTTTTATCCATTTTTCAATCATTAGAACTCATTGAATGTAATATGAAATTAATGTTATTATCAGCATCACTACGATAAAAACATGCTGAAATAGATAATATTATTCTTCACGCGGTAATGAAAGGATTTAAATGCTTCTTTATGTACAAAATTCATTCGAGCTATATTAGAAGAAAAACAGTTTAAAAATTAAGTGATAGACGAGATCCAATTTTCAAGATAATCAAAATTCGAAACAAAAAATATGTACAACTTTGAATGTTCTTAAATATGTTTTTTTTTTGACTGAATTACTGTAGAAAATTATACTACAAAACTGACCGATGCTCAGCGTTTTGAATGACGAGATAATGATAAAAGAGAAACACAATCATATTGTGAAGTTTTTTCTCTTGTTATCGTGAAAGATATTGACTTCAAACTTTGTAATAATTTATTATTAAATCGATACACTAAGCTAACAAAGTTTAAAACATTGACTTTTGATGTATGCAAGAACGACGAATTTAAAAATCATTTCAGAACTTTTTGGATACCTTTCATATGTCTCTGATTAAGTCATCATCAAAAAAAAGATACTTGATCTGATTAATCAAAGAATATTTATCCCTAGCCTCAGATCTGTATAAATTACTATTCAGGCTCATGTTCTTTTTCTTCTTATTTTATTTAAGATTAGACAGTATTAGACAGAAATCTGATCATATTCTTATAAATTCTTCTTTGTTAAATATTTGATTAAACTTTTATCCCCAGGAAAGTGCCAGAAGAGCTACTGATAAAATAACCTTATAAATAATATTTCAATGACCATGTGGTAGAAAAGAGGGATTGGACGACATGAGAAACTCTGATTTTCTTACTTTTCATGACAGTATTGAATGGGCAAAAGTAGCTTATATCGCATGGTGTTAGAATAAGAGAAAAGGGAAAGATTAAATACATAAAAACTAATTTTGAAATAGTACATGCGTTTTAGACGCCTACTGTTAAATAATCATTTATTTTTCTTTGAGGCATTTTATAATCACTGAAGACATTTTATTCATATTAAATATTATTTCAATTTCCGACATGATGAAGTTTACAATACATACATTAATTTTATTCTTAATCATCCTCTATCTGTTCTTTAATGGCAATAGAGTAGAATTGTGCATCTTATTGTTGGTAATAAGTCAAGTAACTTATAGTAATCACTAGTAGACCTCTTCAGTAATCTATACCACACAACAAACGTCCACAGATCTCTACTATCTAAGGAGAGAATATTATTTTTCTTTGTCATTTTTTATAACAATTGATTTTCTAAATCAGATATTTCGAAAACGAAAAGCTCTTTTTTACCGACCAATAACTCATGAATTTTGCTAAAAAACATGTTTTTGAAGCTTTGATATTCTATGCATTGTTGAGTTTTTGTAATCGATCTGCAAATGATCCTCTTACTAACGAGTGGATTTCTATTATAGAAATTTACATTGCTCTTCTAAAGGAGACTTTCTGTTGCAGGCTTGTATTTTGCTAACGTTTACCTAAAAAATCAAAAGATTTTTTAAAAGAACTTTTCTGATATTTAACTAGACGATATTAGCAAGTAAGTGTTAGAAAACTAGATTTTAAAGTGCTAAATCCTATAAAACTCGCTGGATTTCGGGAAAAAGGGTTTTGAAAAACCCATAACATTCTACTGGATTTTATGAAATTCTTCTGATGGATAAGCTTCTTTTCTGGAGAGGAATTTACTGGATAATATTTTTTTAATTACCTCCACATGCTTTTTTCTTAATTAATAAATGTTCAAGTCGAATAATAGGTGTTAAAATAAAATTCTGTCCACTTGGATATTTATTAGGATTTACAACTGTACGTGGTCGTTGATGACGTCCACTAGTAGCATCACGTTGATGTTCTTTTAAAACATATTTATATGATTCTTCAATGCCACGTTGTTCTAATGATTGTATAGGAATTTTTTGAAAAAAAACAAATATATCATTAAAAAGACAGCATTCAAATTCAGCTTTTTGTGTTGTTGAATCAGGTAATAATTTTAATGTACCGGAATAAATTAAACGATTGTTTGTTGCTTCAAGACAATCCTAACACAAAGAAAAAGAAAAGAAGTTGACGAAAAAAACCAAGGATTTTTTTCCTATTTTTACTTGGAGATTTTGTAGTTTTTCATCATTCGGTATTTGTATATCAAGATTTGCTTTAATTTGTTTTAATAATGCTTCTTGTTCTTTTTTTAAACGTGCTTCATTCATATGTTTTAATATATTATCAGCACATTCAATACATCGAGTTAATTTTTCTGATTCAATACGATCTTCTGAAGCAAATTTTTTCATTGCTTCAAATAACATTTTATATTTCGTAAAACGTGTCATTACAGATGGTAAATAATCTTTTAATGTTAAACGACGACATAATGGATTAGATTCGCACATCTTTGAAAAAAATAAAAAGAGAGAAATTTTATTCAAATATAGTTTTTTTCTCGTTTGAATGAAAATTATAACGTACTCGCATAAGTGATGCAAAATCTGGTGATTGTTCTTTTTTTCTAATTAGTTTTAATGCTTGTGATTGATCTTCAATAAAATATGCACAAGCACGAGCAAATTCTTCACCTTTTTCACCATCAAGCTAAAAACAAAAAATAAACTATAGTATTATGTGATAAAGAAAAATCAGAATTTTATACAAATTTAAGAATTAAATCACCAATATTTCGTACAACATGATCTTTAGCTTCTTCACGATGTTGACGAAGTGCATATTTAAATTGAGCTAAAAATGACAGATTTGTTTTTAATTGATAAAAAAAATAAATAAATTTATTCTTACTATGTAAATAAATAAGTTGATCAAGATTTCGAAATATACAATCAAGTTCAACTGGACTCATACCATGAAATCGTTCCATGGGTTCACGAAAACATTTAACCATAATTTTTAAACTCTTTAAATGTGTACGTTGAGTATGAATTAATTCATTAATTGTTGTTTGAAATTTCCATTCTCGTGTTTGATATAGAACTTGAAGGATATCATTCGGAATAAATTCACTTAAATTTGGTAAAGTATTTACATCAGCTTCAAGATCACTATCACCATCTGTTGTTTGTTGAATTACTGTTTCAGAAGGACTTGTAATAAATCCAAGAGAATTTGTTCTATAAATATATATTAGATAAATTTTTTATTCATATCAATTAAATGTCTGACTGTAAGCGCAACATCGATCTACGAGAAGAAACTACCTCATTTTCACCTAGAATTAGGGTCAAATATGAAGATACTAATACAGATAAATCAATTTTCAGATGAGTCGTATTTTATTAGGTAAGCGCAATTAGACTTTCCGAAAGTCTATCAATATTCATGTTCATGAATCTGCTTCTTGAATTGTGACTATAACATTGTATTACAGCGTTCTAACAATCAACGTAGCGAAATGTATTTGTTTAAATGATTGTTTTGCTAAGATCCTGACAGACACTGCGATCCGTACTATTATAGTGAGTTTGAAGACAAAATATCTTGCGTTTCTCTTGAGATGATCTTCAAAATCTGCTTTCGAATTCAAACTTCGCATATGAAATTTATTCATCATAAAAATATTGAACTTTCTAGTATCCTATATTTTCAGATATAAGTATAAGAAAAAACTTTTTTTCACAGACTAGAATTTTCAATAATGGTAATGGAAGATGGAAGATACTCGAAAATCAAACATTTTAACAGTGACTTAGTCTCATGTGGAAGTTTGAACTTGAAAGTCAATTTTGAAGATAATCTCAAAGGGGTAACTGAATTCTTTTTCCAAGATTCACTAAAATGATCATAAGTCAAGAACAAAGACCTATGAATATAAATCCTTTTTTCGGCTCTACCTAGTTTCACGAGGAAAGCTCCTCAACTAACTAATCGTTTTGGAGTCGAGACTATGTGCATCATTTACACTCTACTTCAATCGATGCTGAGGTTTACTCAGGAACACTAGGAAAATTTGTCTTCGACTTTTGACTTGAAATTTGAACATAGACATGTTTCAACAAGAATAGTTTCAAGTCGCAATTCGAAAATGAATATTCTTGACGTTTTTTAGGAGAACAGGGCATTGACTACAAAAATACTGAAAAAGTGTAATATCTCGACAGTAACACGCTAAGAACTCGAGTTCATCTCAAGACATGCATAACTAATTAGGTCTACATGATGCACATGGTTTACAGGATTTACTGTCCACGGATTTACTGTCCATTGATTGTTTTTCTTAGAAAATTGTTTTTTTTCTACAGCAAGTATAATTTTTGCTGCTGAGGATTTACTGTCCATTGATTGAATAACTTTTTTTTTTCAATTAGCGTTTGTCTCGTTTGAGGAATTACTGTCCATTGATTGCCTTGAAGAATAGAAATGAACAGAAAAATATTTAACGGAATCAACTATGTATATTTAGGAAAAAAAAGAATTCAAACAAATATGTGAGGAGATAACAAAGCAAATAAGGGATTGATTAATAAATAAACCAAAAAAATATGAATGGACGTTCAACTTTTTGGTGGACGCTGAAAATATCTAAGTACACCAGCTTTTACGAATGATGGAATATCGGTAACCAAGGTAGCATAATTGTCGTTTACCATGGGTAGATTCAGTAAATATAGCAGACATTTTTAGGAAGAATATGATAAGAAAATTATATTCTTTGAATTTATATATATTTTTCATAAATTTTTGTCATATTAATGACTATTTTACCCCCCAATTTGATGAGTATTCCTCATTTTAAATTGAAAATTTATTCAATAGCTCGCTCATTGGTGACTTTTTTGTTTTTCAACATTTATGTAATTTTTTGTTAAGAAAAGGGATTGATTGTCAAGACCATTACTCATTTATTAATTTCTCTTCTTCGAAGCAATTAATGGACAGTAAATCCTCGACCAAAAAATACACTAATTGAAATATTCTATTTTTTCAATCAATGGACAGTAAATCCGTGGACAGTAAATCCGTGGACAGTAAATCCGCGGACAGTAAATCGTGTACACGCTATTTTAGACGTTTTAATTAACTTACTTTTCTTTTTTTTCATCGGTGCTATAATCTTCATGAGTTGTATTGACATACCGTTGTGGATATCGAGCGTATATATCATCAAGATCAGAAGTCATATTTATTCTCTCGTGTTTTTCTGTTAATAAAAACAAAAGGTTATCATAATTAAAGTAACAAAAATAAACGTACTGCTTAACTAGATTGATTATGTTATTGTAGATCATCCATCACATACGTATCGATAGCGAAATAATACAAAATTCTTTGTCTTTTACTTTAAAGAGCAAAAAAAACTTGAAGAATATTGATGAGCGTTTGTTCAATAAAATACAAATAATATTGTTGCAGTAGTAATAACAACAGACGAGCAAAAAAAAAATAGAAAGAAAGAAATAGGTTTTCTTTTCTTTTTGTCTTGATCACGCAAAGAAATAAGAGGTCTGGAATTATTGACATCATCATTCCTGCTAACCGTTGTTTTTTTCTTCTTTGAAAAAACCGATTACAAATGTTACCTAATGTCGTGCGCATGACTCTCGGATAAATTAAGTTGAAAAAATAGAAAAGTTAAAGGCTTTGTTGGTTTTAATAATTGATGATAAATATTTTTTTGAACTCATAAAAAAACACAAGATGAAAATAGTTTGATTGATATAATAAAAAAAAATTATTAGAAAAAAAATTGATTTTATTTCTTATGTTCATTCCTCTTAGCTCGAACACCGTCAGATGTTATTCAATGAAAATAAAGAAGGAAAATTTCCGATCGGCGATGATCATGACATTAATATTTGAAAATAATATTTGTATCATTTGACATCTGAATTAACGCTTCATGGATTTTTTGTTGATTAGAATTACCAAATTATTTACATGTTTTTTTGTTTTTGTTTTACTATTATTCGGATTTGCATACAAGACACATTGAACACATATCAACAGATAATTCAAGTATATGTCAATTTAATGGTTTTAGATCTTGTCAAAAATATACATTTTTATTCTATAGAGGATTTGACTTTTCAAAACGTTTCGAAGAGTTCATCATCATTATTTTTTACGGTAATAATCAAGTATTCTTGCAGAAAGAAAAGTATAATGTTATGTATGTAAGGGGCCGGAAATTCAAAAATTATAGTAAGACATTTTTGTACATGGTTGAACAAAGATCTGTGTCATGTGCTCTAAAAAAAATAATTTTTCTATTTTCCAAAAATAGGTTAGATGGAAAAACATTCGGAATAATGACATACCTTATGTTTAGGTGGAATAGGTCGATTTTGAAAGCCATGCAAAACTTTTTAATCTCTATTATTTTTTATTCTCCAAACTGTTTTTTTTTTTCTTATTGATCGTGTAAAAATGTCTATGGAAAACTGTACTTGCCATTGTTCAAGTAAATCATGAGCAAAAAATTGATCCGATATGGAACCTGGAAAAAAGCTACTATGCCATTTAATAAATCTATCTAGTTCTTTTGTTTGACAGAGAAAAGTATCATTTGTAGAGAGTTAAGGTAGGCATCCCTATAGCAAAAAGATTATGAAGATATTTTCTTGAAAATACGGGTTCATTATTGAAAAAATAAAAATTTTCTGTTTCAATGACAAAATTGCATTAAAACATGTTCGTATTTAATGACTTCGACTAGCATGATTTCATTTATGAGCAAAATATATGTGATATTCGGATTTAGCATAAAAAACTGAGTTGGGTGATTTAGGTTTCGACGGAAAATAGTTCTCATCAAATGCGCGTTTGTGCTTCTGCTCAATCGTTGTTTTTCATTAATTTCGTTCTACGGATGGAATTTCATTGGAAAGTATTTTTCGCGGAAACATGTGTTATCCAACTTAGTTTTTCATGCTGAATTCGAATAACAGATGTATTTTACGCTTGAGTCAAATCGTGATGGTCAAAGTTGCTAAATACAAGTACGCTTTTGTACAATTTTATCACTGAAAAAGAAAATTTTGATTTTCTTAACAATGGAGAAGCATTGTCAAAAAATCTCTTAATAATCTTGTCCCCATATGGATGCTTATTGTAATTCTTTACAAATAATATTTTTATCTCTCAAGAAAAAGAGCTAGATAGATTTGCACGATTTTCAAAATCAACCCACTTCACTCAAAAATAGGGTATGTCATTATTCCGAATGTTTTTTCCATAAATACTAGTTTTTGAAAACTGAAAAATTAACTTTTTAGAATATTTAACATATCCTCTATCCAGCCATACACAAATATAAATGAAACAAAAATTTTACTATGATTTTGAATTTTCGACGCCGTAGAACAAGCATTGTTAACTTGTTCAGATTCTAAAATCATCATTTAACAGAAAAAAAAACATGTATTCTAAGAAAAATTAACTCTACATAAAATAAAAAACAGATTCGGTCGAGTAAAAGATTAAATATTTGCATTGTTTTTGTAATGTTGGAAAAATTGAGCAAAATATCTACTGATATATAAAAACAAATTTGGTAAAATGCAAGTGCTAGCTCTTATTCTTCGAAGAACGGAATTATTGTTATATATGACATGTCTGATTATGGCGGTAACATAAAGTGTAATTCAGAGTGTTCCATAGTCAAATGTTGTCCAATACATGTGATCATGGAAAAAAAAGAATATAAATGATATGTTAATGTTCGTTGCGAACCTGTTGACTTGAAATTTTTGACATGTAAACAATTAAAATTTGTAAATCAAACAATTCTTTTTTATTTAAATGGAATTGAAAGGAACTTTATTTCAACTTCGAATGCCATCCAAAACAATATATTATGAATATAATGAACAATTAAGTCTGTTGCATGATCGAAGAAAATTTTTCAACATACCAAATCTTTTTCTTTTTTCATATATAAGCTTAGAAAAATTTCTTTACCCTTGGCTTGTGAATGATCAGTCAGGAAAAAGTAGGATTTTCAAGAGAAAACTTGAAGAATACTCTTTAAAAGAAAGAGGAACGCAATTTTTAATCTAGACAGTCAGAAGCATTAGTTCAGATGTGTTAACATCCTTAAAGTTGGCACAGTAAGGTGTTTATCATAGTTCTTAGTTAAATGTTACTTGTTTGATAAGTACAACAGAGAAAAAAAATTAAATTAAAAAAATCACGTCAACTACTATTTAGATAACTATGTTGAAAAAAATTAAATTGTTTGAAATGAGCCACTTATTTGCTTCTCAGTATGTGTCCATTTCAATAGATTTGTATATAGATAATCAAATTTAGTTCAATGTTTTCAAAACTTTGCGAAATAAATCTATCAGAAAGCCTGAATAATTGCAAAATATCAAATTCATTTCACTTTTCTTGTGCAAATATTGATTACAACTAACAAGAGCTGCAAATATTAGAGGACAAATATTTTCAGTTTTTGATGCTATTACTCCACTATAAGAAGAAAGAGAAATCCTCTTTAGGCGAACTTTTGCACAAACATTTTGCATCTTTTCTCAAAGAAAATGGTAATCGCTAACAAAAGAAATGCGACAATCACATGTTCGATGATTGTTCGTCCGTTGAAGTAATCCTTGATGTTTACAGCCAATCAGTTCTTTCTTCTTACTTTATTGATTTCACTTCATTAAACGTGCATTTCGCTCTTAGAACAAAGTAAATATTAATCTGTGTCATTTATAATATATTTATTGCAAGAGAATTACCTACATAAGTTTATACATAGTCACACAAACCAATCAAAAATAAACCAAACTGTAATGTCAGACTAGATTTTGCTTTGAATCTTGTAGAGAAACTCTTCCACATAGTAGTATCTTAATGATGAGAGCATGTTCTTAATCATATTTAAGATAGTTATCACAAAAAAAAGATAACTTGCCAATATATAGATCATGACTTTTGTAATCGAAGCAGTGAAAAGGAGAAATATTAACAAACTGACTGTACACAGACGATTGAGTTAGTCTCTATGAATTCTCGATATTCATATCTTTATTGCAGTGATTTTATTCTTATGAAAACTAAGTTCGGTTTTTTTTTCTAAATAGAATTAACTTAAAAATGATTTGTAGATGATGGATATTTTAATTATAAATTTCATGAACATTTTTATCGTCTTATATTTGAGATATAGATCCGTAAATAATGGTCGATTATCGTCATATATTTACTATCGTACCTCCTACATCGATTTTATTTAGTTCGATTAAGAGAGAATGCATTTTTCGTGTCTGTGCCTTTAAAATTTCATTATCTTTAACAATACTTGTGAGATAAAAAAAAACAGATGTTGATAGTCGAAATATTCTCAGATGTCGATTTTTCTTATCGATTTTATTCCACAAAGAACCGAAGTGTAAGTGAAGTCTTAGGAAAAACGTCTTGATTCTTTTCTCATTCAAATGTATTAAAAAATCAATATAGGAGTTTCAAGCAAATATATTGTGTACTATTTCTCCTAGTTCTAATAATTAGCATCGAAATTATTTGCCATACGTATAGTTCAATTGATTTTGATAATTATTATCTGCTGATTTAGAATCTTCTATAAAATGAATGATAAACTATACTTTTCGAATATTTAATACCTTAACGTGTTCTTCTGTCAATAAATTTGGTCTCAAAGTAATATGAAATCACTCTAATAAAAAATCGTCTTTATTTTATACTTATTAATCAAAACTCTAACTTTAAAAGTTGTCTTAATGTCATCGATAGTTATTATATTTTCAATAATAATTATTCTTCCTTATGCATTAAATATAACCAATAAACCAAATATTATTGACTTTTCATAATATCTATTCCACATCAAATTGGCTATTACGGTTCGAAGTCAAAAAGTTTATCGTAAAATATGTTTTCATTATTTCTCACCAACACTTCGAGATCATTATCAGTTGAATTGTATTACGTCGTTAATTGTTTTTTCTATTAATACCATGACATTGTCTTGAATTACTTGCTTCGAAGAAACCATCGAGTTCATCTTATTTATATCGGGTAAAGTTCCGAATTAGAGATGTGCGAGATCAAATATTGTAAGTCTCGGTCCTGAGCATAGTTCTCTTAAATTTGATATAGCTCCAGTCATTGGTTCGGAAAAGTTATTTGAGAATTTCTTTGCGTTAAATCTAAA